CTCCTCCCAGGTTTGTGTCATCAGCAAACTTGCTGAGGGGACACTCTGACTCTTCATCCAGGTCATTGATGAAGAAGTTGAACAAGACTGGGCCCAGTACTGAGCGCTGGGGGACACCACTAGTCACAGGCCTGGAGCCCCTCTGCCGATCTGAGGCTGCAGCAAAGGGCGATGCTAGAAACCACGTGCGATGTCCCGGCCTTTGGCAGTCAGGGACGGAAGCAGCAGCCTGGGAGGTGCAGGGAGGGAGAGCGGGGTAGGGACGGGGCGCAGCACGCAGCCCGGACGGCCCTCGGTAGCTGCAGCTGCTCCTTCCCACCAGATCTCCGACGCTCTCATCAGGAAGTTCCTTCACCGGGGGAAGCTGACGTGTGCTTCGTCCCACCTCCCCGTTGCTCGGACCGCTGGGGATGCTCGCCCTCCGACGCTCTCATCAGGAGGGTGCACTTAACCGAGGACCAGTGGGGAAAGGGGACGCTCACACCCCGGATGACCACGGACTTCGACCTGAACCTGGACAACGCCCCGCTGCTACAGTCCATCCATCAGCTCGACTTCGTGCAGATGAAAGGTAAGAATATCTCCAGTGCCTTTCGACATGCCTGCTCATGCTGGGTGCTTCCATGCAGCTCCTCACTGGGATGGGGCAGCAGAGGAGACTTTTTCATCTTCTCCCAACAAGACTGGGCACCTCAGATGCAGATTTATGCCTGTTCCCCTGCCTCGTGTCTCCGATCCCTGGGCGGCTGCGTGCCAGGTCAAGGTGCCAGGAGCTTGGTTTTGCCTGGCAGTGCTTTGGAAAGAGCTCTGCGGTGCCAGGAGAGCCGGGCTGGTCCCTGCTCAGCTGGTGCAGGTTGGGACCAGGGTCCTGGGAGCAGCGCAAGGCATTTCCCAGACCCGTGCTCGGACACGCTCGCTTGCTCAGTGCTGAGCAGCGCCTGGCCTGGGCCAGCTAGCGAGCTGCCTGCTGCGGGCAGCCACCCTGTCCCTCCAAACACAAAGGCTCAAAGAGCCACAGCGCTTAGCTTGGGGTCTTTCCTCCCTCCCCTCTCCTCCCTATTGTTTTAGACTTTCGTTTCAGCTTTAATTTCCTCCTTGTTCTCCGTTCCCTCCGTGCTCCCTCTCCCGTAGCACCGAGAGCTGCCACGTTTGCATCGCTCGGCAGGAAGCAGAGAGCCTCTGCAACCCGTGAGCAATCTGCATCTTGGCAAGCCCTGGGAAGCCGACGGAGGACGCAAATGGGCTGTGACGCAGGGAAGCTCAGGAGGACGGGGAACGTGGGCTTGTACCTTCAGCTGGTGCGAACGAGCTGCCTGGAGGAACGGCCAC